CACGGACCACATGTCAGGGGTGGAAAAATGGCCGCGGACCATGTGTCGGGCGAAAAATGGCCACGGACCACATGTCAGGGGTGGAAAAATGGCCGCGGACCATGTGTCGGGCGGAAAATGGCCACGGACCACGTGTCGGGTGGGAAAATGGCCGCGGACCATGTGTCAGGGGCGGGAAATGGCCACGTATCCTGTTCGTACCCCAAGGAGGAGTTCGCAAACCGAGGCAAAATTTTGCGGCCGGAGCTGGTCGTAACCCGAAAAGTTCATTAACAGAAACGTTCGTAACCTGAGGTTCCACTGTATTTAGTTATACATACTTAGGAATGAGGATAAATCAGTGTGGATGATACTTTGGATAAGTAGGCACTAAAAAGTGTACATAATCTGTCTGATTAGAAATTTACATTTCATCCATTGGCTCATGCTAGAAATAGGAATTTTTCTTCTTCTGGATAGCAATACCTTTATTGCTATTCATATTAAAAAAACTTCCTTGTATTCAGTTTTAATCCCAAATAACTAATTTGCTAGAATTCAGAGAAATAGAAAATCTGCTCTTTTATGTGATAACATGTACACACATAAATATTTTGTATATTCTCAGATAGAACAGGTCTGCAAACATTAATGTTTAAGTATTCTTATGCATTTTCTGAATATCATTATCCCTAGAAATCTGAGATTTGGGAATGGGCTATCAAGCGTGAAGCAATACATATGGAATGTTCATATAACTGCAGTTGCAGTTGAGTCAATATAAAAATTTATTCTCAGTTTGCAATTTGAGAAAAACCATGTAATGATGCATGTGTGAATGATTGTTATATTCCTAACTGAAGCCAAATAACATTTTATATCATATAAGAATATTTGCACTTTTTTTACTTTGTATTTAAATCTAAGCATAAATCTTATCTGTGGAAAACAAAACCCAAGAACAGTATATTGGATTCCTTAGTTTCCTTTGCTGGTGTTAGGATTCCTTGAAAGAAGATCCTCCATCCAGCAGAAGGGAAAATACATTACTTTCATTAATTTCCACTGTCCTGTGAGACTTCTTCTGTTCCTTATAATCTACTCTGTAGCTAATAATAGCACTAATACATTTTTATTTCATGCTATGTTGACCTGTTGTATGTAGTTTGTTTCTAGTTATGGGACTGTTGATTATAGTATATTTGTATCTGATTTTCCCTGCTGTCTGGTCTTATTGTGAGTCTGATACATTGTTGAAGGAAAACTGCAATATAGTTGAAATGTCAAACACCTTTATTCATCAGATCAAAGTGCTTTGCTGAATTGGATTTGAGCGAGGAATTCAGGACAAAAAGTACTCTCGGAATGAAAATAATGTTTCTTTAATAAGAAACCAAATGCATACATTCTTCCATTAAGAATTGTTGTATAAAGTAGTCACAGTTTTTCATTAAGAATTTTCAGTATAGAGAAATATCAGTTGAATGTACGTCTCATATACAGGTAGTCCTCATTTAATGACCACTTGTTCAGTGACCATTTGAAGTTACGATGATGCTGAACAAGGGGGACTTGCAACTGGTCCTTGTAGTTGCAGCCATCGCAGCATCCCCGCAGTCACGTAATTGGGTGCTTGGCAACTGACTTGCAGTTACAACATTGCAGTGTCCTGCAGTCACATGATTGATTGCCATTTGTGGCCTTCACTGTCAGCTTCTGACAAGCAAAGTCAATGAGGAAGCCAGGAGGAGGTCGCAGATGGCAATCATGTGACCATGGGACGCTGCAGCCCTGTGAGATTTGCCTAACGATGGCAACTGTCACTGCTCGAACTGCCATTGTAAGTCAACAAGGTCACATGACATTGTACTTGCCAACCATGTCGCTTAGTGATGGAATTCCCAATTCCAATTACTGTCAGTTAAGCAAGGACTACCTGTAGTATTATAAAGCAATATCTGAAGTATTGGGAATATTAATGCTGCTTTCTATGGAATGGTAGGTAGGTCTCAAAAATATTTATTTTTGACCTATGTTCAGTCCTGTCTATTGAAGAAAAATCAGGGTCAGTAGTTTGAGACATCAGTATCTTGTCTGCGATTGAATTTTACAAAGATTATGGTATTTGAAAAATTCATTTTTTTAAATTTATGCCAGAACAAATAATGGTAGATAATTTGTACTTTCTGTATAAACTGTCAACACAATATAAAGCTATCTCCTAAAGTTTCTGCAACCCTATTACCTGGTTAAGCAAGATCATGGTTATGTTGGTAGAATTGGATGGCCATTTTATGAGGAGTTTGAGGGCCATTTTATGAGGAGAGGTGATGGCAAATTGAATTTAAACAAGTGTTTTTGTGTTTGTCTCACTGGCAATAGCTGCTTTTTTATAGCAGTTTGTTGTTCAGATAGTTAGTGATGTTTGTGGAGTTACTTTGTTATTTCATTTTATTGAAAGTTCTTTTATAATTTTATTAAGTTTTTAAAAAGGAACAGTAAAAACTAATAAAAACTAATGTTGAGTAATAATGAGAAAATTGAAAAAAAAGAAAATAGTAAAGATCAAAAGTGTAGAAAAGAAAAGGAGAGAAACAACAAAAGAAAAAAAAGAATTGACTTCCCACTCTCTTTGCAACAGATATAAGTAACAGTATACATCAAACTCTTGCTCTAAATTTAAAACATAACTTCCATTATTCCTATAAACCCTTATTATTTCTAATCATCAAATCCATACAACGTAATTTCATTTTTTTCCGTTTCCCGCAAAAAGTCCAAAAAAGGTTTCCAGTTAGCATTAAAATTACACAATGTTTTATCCTGAATCAAAGTCATCAATTTTGCCATCTCAGCCAATTCCATCAACTTCACCATCCATTCTTCCACTGTAGGTAATGTCTTATCTTTCCACCTCTGTGCATATCAAAGCCTTGCTGCTGTTATCATATATAAAAACAAAGTTCCATGATTTTTTTCCGTTTATCCATCAAACTCAAAAGGAAGGTCTTGAATATCGATCTTTAAAATCTTCTGTATACAGATATGTATCTCATTCCAATTTTTTTTTGCTTTTTTACAAGTCCACCAGAGATGATAAAAGGTCCTTTCTTGTTCACATTTCCAGCATACATTCAAAGTACCTTTATACATTTTAGATAACTTTTCTGGCAACAAGTACCAATGATACATCATTTTATAAAAATTCTCTTTAAGTTTATAGCACAATGTAAATTTCATTCCTTTCTGCTGCATATTTTCCCATTGATCTATCTGTACGTTGTAGCCAAAGTTTTTAGATGTATAAATTTTCAGTAAAAATTTATACATCTTTGCAATAACATGTTCATCATTAGTACATAATTCTGCTTCAAATTCAGTTTTACCATATTCAAATTCATAAGTCCTTTTATCTATTTTAAACCTTTCTTGGAATTGTACATAAGAAAACCACTGACGCCTATATCCTTCTGATATCAATTCCTCTCTTGTCTTTAATTTAAAGTCCCTTTGAGAAAATTTCAGTACGTCACCATAAGTTAACCATTTATTTTTTAGTTATCATTTCTCTTCTATAAAAAGCTTCTTCTGGTGACAACCATAAAGGAACCTTCAGAGACAACGTAGATTTATATCTGTTCCATATTCTCAATATGCCACATCTAATAAAATGATTTTAAAAATCTACATTAACTTTAACTTCATTGTACCATAAATAGCCATGCCACACAAATCTTAAGTCATGCCCCTCTAGCTACAATAACCTCCTATTTCTCAAAGTGACCCACTCTTTCATCCAAACCAAACAATGCCTTCAAAGAACACCTTCAAATTTGGGAGACCTGAACCTCCTCTTTCTTTAGCATCATGTAAAAC